GTCACTGTGATTTGTGTTCTGCTTTGTGACCTTATTGTGGCAAACCTAGCCACTTTAAGACTTACTGTATAGCATGTCAGGGTATTTATATCGGCAGACATCTTGTGCTATGATAGAAAGTAAAAGTGTATATTCTGAGTCACTCTGAACAGACCAGACTCCATTTTGTTATTTTCAAGTTAACAAAAAGACACAAGATTTCTTTCTGTAAGACTAGCCACTTTGCCAGAGCTAAAGGAATGCATAGTATAAACAAGTGATAAGAAGAATATAATCAATTCTAAACCCAGACAATTGTGACAGAGAAGATTAAATAATAAAATTTAACTGTCTATACATATAAGGTCCCATTGTAAGTTACGGGTCAAAACTCAGATTGCCAGACACATAGTCTGGACAAAACTTAAATAAACCCTTTGATCTGTGAAGGATACGTAAGTTATGGCCATTATCTAGATAGGCCAAAATGACGTCAAAATAGCCACCAGGAAAAGTTAACTCTTTCCTGGATACGTATGTTTAGTGGGACAAGACTGCCCTCTATAGACTAAATACCTAAATTGCGATCTGGAAGATAACTACACCTCTAGTGCTTCTATTGGGTTATCAACTGATGACGTACAGAGAGTCTGGCCCTTTAAAAGTTAGGACAAAGGGAAGACAAGAGAGACATATGCAAAGGAGAAAGAAAAAGAGGAGAGAGGAATTGGAAGTTTCGGGACTCCAACCTCCATGCAGAGAGACATCCAAATAAGTTCCTGAGACTACTAATCGGATGAAATATCTACTCAACTGGTAATTATACTGGTTTCATTTAATTAATTAAAATGTATTAATAGCATGATATGTGACTAGGATAAAGCACGGTCAGATTTCCATATTAAGAAATCTTAGTTAACTAAAGAATATATAGTTATAAACATTCCATTCTGCAGGTGGAATTAAGAATAATTATATATTAAGGTGATATTATCACGTGTTAGCATACCGCTGTTTTTATCCAGGTGTATTGATTTGCTCTAAATTAAGATAGATATCTTTTAGACAAATTAAATTCTGCTTATATAATATGGTAGATTCTCTTATTGGATGGTTCCAGGAAATGACTAATGAACTGGTTTAAATGTTATTTTATTTAAAAATTACATAAGAATAGATCTTAACTACCTAGGAGATCTAGCCAGCATTGAAAGGGTTATTCTAACTGTCGGCTAAACTTTACGACCTTACGCTGCACTCTGAGGAATTCTGTTCTTCCCTGTGAAAAGTTTCACTTTCAGTCTGTGTTAAAGATAGTAATAAATAAAGTCTTGACAGATAATGCTGTTTAAGCCATTGAAACGTAATACCCATTTCTTTGTATTGCATACCATTTTATACTGGATATTCATTGATTATTATCACGCATGTTACATATTATTATTATTTTGTTATTATAAATAAAATCTATTTTTATAATAAAATTGTGAATATTATTTATATGATATACTTCTCACTTAACACGATAAACGTTCTTTGGGATCTGAGAATTGAATTAGTGGGCAATTCTCACTGTTACTATTATTATCCCATAAATATCCCCACAAGCATCAGAAGGTTGTCTGCTTTTATTGTATATAAGGATGTATTCGTGTGTGTTTTCAATAAAGAGTATTCATATGCTAATAGCCGAAATAAGGTAGTTTCACGAACAGTGACTTTAGACACTGTTCGTGAAACGAATAAGGTACCGAACGGGAGCCCACACACAGAGGTTCATGTGGCTCCCATTAACCGATTGCAACATTGTTGCAATCGGTAGTTAATTGCTTTCCTAGGTGGCCGTTGTTCGGCTACCGACCACGCGGTTGTCGGCCATCTTGGATCCTTTGTTAGCCCAGCGGTGTTTGGTCGTCGAGCGCCTGGAACTAAAATCGGCTACTCGACGGCGTGAACACCGCTGGACTTCCAGGCCGTTCGGGAGCGCCAGTCTTTCGGTATCTCAATAGGTATTCGGTACTTTTAGGAAAATGTGATATAAAAGTGTATTTTGTGTGGCGTTCGGTTATTTATGCTGGAATCTGAGCGGTACTTTCACGAAATGTGCGCTCAGACCCCAGCAATCTACCGAACAGTCGTTCGGTAATATAGGATAAATAATGTGTAAGTTGTGGAATTTTGTGTAAAATGCCAGTTCTGCTGTACGGAGGGATAATCCATTTAACAGGATATATTCTAGTGGGAGTATCCCTCTCGTGCAGCAGTGCATGGTGGGGGAAATGTCTGGGTTGTTAAGTTTCCCATGTAGTCCCCTACTGTACAACCCCTGTAAGGGGGTCAGGGCGCTCCCTTCCTTCTTCCCGGAGGACCGCGGCCGTGGGCCTCGACAGTAGATTTGCTCTTGAACGGCGGCCATCTTGAAACTCGCAAAAACTTGCAAGATTCACGGTGGCCATTTTCTATGTTTTTCAGATCATGATTCACACGATCTGTATCTGGAACCTTCCCATCTACAGCCTGTTACATCCTCCTCGGAAACATTTAATTTTCAGGTACTGGAAGGACTGTACTTAACTCCATACTACGGTCATGTTACACATTCATAACTGATTTACTGGATCTCCTTGTTATAAATCATATGACAACTGATGTTAACTGGTGGCATATATATGTATATCTACACCTGTGATTGTATGGATGGGGTGATCCCCCGGAAAGTGCCATTGTATGGGTTTGAGGATAACCTATTCCTTGCTAGTGTCTTTGGACATCTATACTGATATTACAGGGGAAAAAAACAAAACCTTATTTCTATGTTGGGTTGACCCCCCCGTGGTTTATGCCAACCAGAATGCTAATATGCATATAGGGGTGACCCTCTTTTTTTCAATGGTACCCTTGATGACATCTCCTCCACACAAACATTATTGTGCTGTCACGGAGGTGCAGCGCTGCACAAACTGACTCCCTGACTCTTGGGCAATTCAGACGAGTGTGACCCCCTCTATGGTACCTGCCCACCTACGTTCGGACGATTCCAGGGTTACCCCTCTATTATTTCTGAGACTGACAGTGTCTCCAATTCTACCAAGGATAACCCACTTGTGTAACACAAAACCGCTGGCCACGGTTATTACCGAGGGTGACTGTAGCGGAGCTGCAATCCGGAGACCAAATATCTCCACTGGAAGAAAGCGCGGTTCAGTGATTATAGCCCATTTCCCCAGTAACATGATGACACAAAGTTCTGGGAGTTAACTGAGGTTTATTGTGCCCACACTCTGCTTTTTTATGCACAAACCCCCAGCATGGGGTCTCCATAAAAAACAAACAAAAAAAAACAGTACAAACCCCTCCCGGGCGTCTCTGTGTCTGGGAGATAATTGAGTTAGCCTTCCATTGACTCGATTATCTCTGTTACAGGAAACCATAAAATTTTACACAAAATACCCCAAAAGGATATAAAAAAATATACAGGACCCCCACAATTCTTATATCCCCGAATAGCCCGGATCAGAGTGCCCAAGTTGTCCAAATAGCACTGATATCCAAAAATACAAGAACCCCACAAAAGTCGTAGCCCCGATCTGAGCTCACAACATATCCAAAAAAGCGCCCAGATTGGTTCAGTAGAACGAAATTGCTGTTCGAATAAAGTTTTGACCGACCGTCCACGAGGTGATAGCCCAAAACAGTTCCAGATGGCCGGTCTGCTTTCGGGGGTTCCTGTTCAAACACCGCCAAAACGCTTTCCCTGGCTTTTATGGAGCGAATGCTCCCCCCCAATCGATAGATCATATCTCTCGAACGTCATTAGTCTAGGTGGTCAGGAAGTTGAATGGGAAGCGGTACGAACTCAGTACGCAGAAGATAGTTTCAGGCGTTCGACCATGTACCGCTGTCTGTGTTAGGGAGACAAAATGCAGGGAATTCACTTGAGTTAATCACTTAATTGCGGTTAACAGCCAGGGTTAGTCGGTGTTCTAAGCTAAATAAAAGGGGGGCCACACATGTTCGGCCATTTTCGGTAAATGTGGAGCTAGGTTTGGGCAACCCCAGAGAACTTCACAGGGTCCGCCACAGTGACCCCCTCTGAATTTGGCATATCTTTCATCATACCTTCTAACCTGGGACCACCCCAATTGTACTACGTGCCTGACATCCTGTGTACTATGCTGTGTCACACTGCTCACTGCTGTCCTGTCAGGGTCTTACCTGAGGTGGTAGTCCGGTAGGCAGAGATTTGTGCTCACCCTTGCAGATATACACAGTCCAAGATGATAAGGTTAGAAACCACCAGGACATGAAAGGTGCTCCAATTTGCAGTACAGACAAGGACACAAGCGGAAGGATTGTTGAGGATAAGCCAAATTCAGAGGATGCCAGAGGTCAGGATAAACAAGGAGGTAAGCCAAGGTCAGGAGCCAGGGTCAATCTGGAGAACAAGTATCAGGAGACAAAACAGGAACAACACATGATTACCAGAATCAAAGAACTGACAAGGTTCTCATGGAGAGGCCGGTTTAAATACCTAGCTAATGAGCTATCTGCCTGAGGTGGACATAGAGAGACAGGTGTAGCCACAGGTAAAGTCCTGCTGCAGACAAGGCCGGATAGGAGATGAGGCAGAAGCATGAACTGAAGTGTGGCTCAGAGACAAGACAGCAGGACTAGGGCAGCAAGAGTCCAGAGTTCAAATCCGCTTTTGACACATGTGGAACGGTCACGCCTGGCCATCTGGATGTCATGTTGAGAACCATGACATGTCCTCTCTATCAATTGACAGGCTATGATTAATGCTGCCGTAGCAGCATTAGTTGAGAAGGCACTTTCATTGCTTCACCCTATACCGCCCCCTGAGGTGACTGGACAGAACCTACCCGCTAATCTAGCCTTGGAAGAAACTGGAGGCTCCGAATCCTCCAGGGCACATGGGGCCATCCTCAAACGACACTGGAAAGGCTCCACTCAAAAAGCACTAATGCATAGAGCAAAAGGAACTTGCTCACAGCCTAAGTGTAGGTATGGTAGTTAAAACTTAACTTTTAATTGTTACAAAAAGACAAAATATTTATAGATAGAGGCAGTCTCCAATGTCGCACAATAAAGAAACTATGTACAATAGGAGATAGTTTAGGTATAAGAAAAAGAGAGAAAAATGTCTATGTAGAATGAATAGATGATCAGGATACATATGACATATAGATATGTGGAATGTCACAAAAAGCAGAATCTAAATAAGCTCTGATCCCTAGAAAATAAGAGGGTAACTAAGTTACTGTAATACCTCTGTATTGGTTTTCTATAGCCACGGATATGGAGTGTCTCATTGACCTAAAAATTAGATACAGAATACAGCGGCTGCTAAGTCCTATAACAGGACAGAGAGGATTGCAAAGCTGTGCCTTAGAAGGCACCTGAGGATAAGTAGATACTGCTAGTGATCCTAGGCAGAAAACATGATCGCTAAATTATCAACAGCTAGATGCCCTGCAGAGATACACTGCTCTGTGCCTTCGAGGGCACCTGTCAGAGGAGGAAAGCTAGCTATCACTATCTGTGTACACATAACAGGATCACATCAGCTCAATTAAGTGGTCTGGATGCCAGGTCCCTCTAGTTTTAACTGAAGGTTAATCCAGCCTTTAGTGGCTGTCTCACTGACAGCCGCTAGAGGCGCTTCCGCAATTCTCACTGTTTTTAATACAGGGTGTGGAGAAAGTAACCTCGCCACTTGTACTTGGAGAGGCCTGCTGGCCAGCCTCTTGCCCTGTGACTATGGCCCCTGGGATGTATTGCCGTTTAAAAGCATTATTTGTTCATATTGGATTAACTCTTTTTCTGCCCCTTTAAATACATGGGAAAATGTGCCTCTTCTCCTTCCCCTTTTTCCTGTCCTATTGTTTCTCCAGCAGGGCGTTGTCCAAGGGACACTGCCAGACCAGTGGAAACTGGCTGCTTTGTCACTCCTCAATTTCCCATCAGCCCTTGCTATTTTCTGACCACACCTTTATTTGTACTATCTGGCACTGTGGCGAAATTAACATCACCACTTGTGCCTGGAGAGGACTACTTGCCAGCTTCTTGCCATGTGATTATGGTCCCTGGGAGGCTTGGCCCTTTAAATACAGTATTTGGGCATAATGGATTTTTATTGTGCTGTTGCTGGCCCTTTAAGAACCATCTGGGGACATTCTGTGACTTTTGGGAACCCTATCCCCTAAAATACTTTGTTTGTGCCCTTTTCCAACTTGGTTCAGTAAATGGGGCTTACTGAACCAAGTACCACACAGGCGGACCACACAGAAGTGGAAGCGTGCAGGCAATTTACCTCCCAGGCTGGGAGCCTGCTGTAGGTAAATTGCCGACCGCTGGGGGGCCGCCGTTCGTGCAAACGAACATGTGGCAGCGGCCATCTTTTTTTAAACCGAACACTGTCAGCGGTGTGTGTAGCCAAATTCGTGGAACTGGAATCGGCTACACATTTGAACGAACACTGCTGACCTGTACCTTCCCCTCCACTTCGACACTGCAGCTGGAGACTAAGTCCCGTTCGAAGATTCGAACGCACGTTCGAATGGGACTTAGTCATTTTTTTCAGTGTGAAATTGACCGACCGCACAGCCCAAATCCATAGAACTGTTTTGGGCATGAAAATGTTCTTTCGGTCGGTCATAAAGGACCTCCACCTAACTTTGTAACCCCTGAACCGATAGCCCTGATTTTTGAGTATGTTTATATTGCAAGTATGCTGATTCTTAAAATGTATGTTTTATGTGAATGGCATGTATATTTTGGAAGTTATTAATATTTTGTAAAAACTGTATTTCTCTGCCTGTGATAATTACTTTAACCCATTGTGTTCAGTAATTATATCACAGGCAGAGGGGAGGATTTTGTGTGTAACTGCTGGGAGTGTCTGAGTGTGTTGTACGTATTGATTGGTTGTTCTGCAAAACCCTGTGGGCAGTACTATTTTTGTAAAATGGGCATAAAAGCAGAGTGTTTGATTAAAAGCTGCAGTTCTTCTTCACCCTCAATCTGAGTCCTGCCTCTTATTGGGGGAATCGGCTTCAAGGGATTGCTATGCTCGTCATACTCTCTTGCTATAATCACTGAGTTTCTTGTAAGAGCTGTTCTGTTCCTGTTACGCTCTCTGGGGAAAGAAAGGTTCACCCACAGGAAGCTGGATCCTGGCCTCGGGTACAGGGTGTGTGGAGACTGGAGACCCCGGCGCAGCTGCATCGCTGGAAGTGGGGTCTGCAGTGCTGATGGTGTCGGTTGGAGTGCTTGGAGCCCTCAGCGAGCACTAGGAGCATCGATTGGCGGAGGTACTCAGTCGGAGTGCCAGCGGTCTGTCACAGGCACTTTTAACATTGTACCTATTGAGCGCTCAGATCCAAGCTATCTGGGGATATGTTGGACATATAGGTTAAACATTGTATTAAAAGAGTTATGTATTTTTATGTGTTTTTTGACTTAGAGATATTTCCTGTTACTGGAGATAATTAGGTTACTGCAGCCACTTAAGCCCATTATCTCCAGGATAGAGGAGAAGATAGACCGGCCACACAGCCTAAATCTGTGGAACTGTTTTGGGCATGAAAGCCATGCTAGCGGTCGGTCAAATGGAACTTCCATAAAACTTTTTGATTTATGGGGATATGTTATGTTTTTCTGCCTGTGGATAATTAGGTTATTGTATTAGTTGCTTTAATTATATCCCAGGCAGAGGGGAGGGCTTGTGTGCTGTATGTGGAGGTGTCAGACATTGTTGTATTGTTTTGATTGGTTTATGTCCCTTGTGTTCCTGTGTACCATCAGGTCCAGGGGGTGTGCCTCTGGCCTGAGAAATTGTATAAATTGAGAATGATGGCTTACATTAAACAGACCTGCTTGACCCCTTCTTGAAGTCTTGGCTTATGTTTGGGGGATGGGAAAACTACACTCTTGGGGATTGCTATAAATCACAATACTCCCCTGAGTATAAGCTCTTCTAAGAGGTTGTTCCTGCTACGCTCTCTGGAGTAGGAAAGGTCTACCCACTGGAAGCTGGATCCTGGTCTTGGGTCCAGTGTGGGTGGAGGACGGCGAGACCCTGGCGCAGCTGCATTGCTGGAAGTGGGGTCTGCAGTGCTTATGGTGTCTGGTGATGTGTTTGGAGTCATCGGCAAGCACAAGGAGCATCGATAGGCCGAGGTACTCGGTCACACAGGGTAATGGACGTGCAGTTATGCAGGGTAATGGACGTGCAGTTATGCAGGGTGATGGACGTGCAGTTATGCAGGGTGATGGACGTGCAGTTATGCAGGGTAATGGACGTGCGGTTATGCAGGGTAATGGACGTGCGGTTATGCAGGGTAATGGACGTGCAGTTATGCAGGGTAATGGACGTGCAGTTATGCAGGGTAATGGACGTGCAGTTATGCAGGGTAATGGACGTGCAGTTATGCAGGGTAATGGACGTGCAGTTATGCAGGGAAATGGACGTGCAGTTATGCAGGGAAATGGACGTGCAGTTATGCAGGGAAATGGACGTGCAGTTATATAGGGTAATGGAAGTGCAGTTATACATGGTGTGGCAGGCCGCCTGGTACCCCGACTGGGCACCTCCGCCAAATATGCTTTTTAGCTATTGTCGGGACACCATCAACACTTCAGCCCTTAGCCACCCCAGCTTGGCTGGGGTCTCGGCTTTGCTTCCCGTCCTAGATCCAGCTTCCAGTGGTCAAAGCTCTCCTACAAAGATTTCCTCCACACATTAGCTGAGACCTAATGCTGGGAGTAGATCTGTTTAATGAAGGCAAGCACTCACCATTTATACACACAGTAAACTCCTTCCCTGTGCCTGAGAGATTATTGAGTCAGAAACCCACTCAAGAGTCACTGTGACGAGACCAATCTCACCACTGTGCATTGGAGGAGCCTGGTTGCCCGCCTGCTGCCTTTAGACTATGGCCCCATGTTGAAACGCTTGATTTTTCCCCTGCAAAGACACGAAAGCCGGGTCATTTGGTGCTTGCCCTGTTTGAGCGCTCATACCCCAGATAGCTATGCCATGGAGTCCATTCGTATAATGAAAGACTAATGAGAAAGACTTTGGCTCCATGGCAATTGAACTGTGTTAAGACACCTCCTGTGTCTTTAGGCAAAACCGCCGTTTAGTAGACCTTCCTCGTCTGCAGCAACAGTCTCCGTTCGCTTAATCTATAGTATATGAACCAAATGCAGGGGAAGCGGCAATCTCCCGACCGAGATCCGTGAACGGCTCCAAACTCCCGAACGGCAATACACGAACTGCTGCTAGCCGCCGAACAACAATATTCACCAAGCGGCTTCCGTTCCATCCAGCAGTCTCTAAACGTGAAGAAGAAATCCCCCCAATAACGAGACAGAAGCTCCGCATTGAGGGTCAAACAGGATCTGGCTTTACTGTGGGCTACCTGCCTGTATTTATGCAGGTCTCTTACTTGGTGGACACTCCCCTAGGGGACCAAATGGGAGACTTAAATGACAGACAGATATGGGGACATTCCAGACACACAGCCACAGTGCATTATGATTCCCTCCCCTCTGTCCTGGAGTTAATTACCAAGTAACTCAATTAACTCCAGGACAAAGCCAGTCACCATCTGTGGCAAACCTAGCCACTTGGGACTGCCTAAGATAGAATGGTTGTGCCTATTTTCTGTTGTGTACTGCGCGCCGGTATAATGTGGCGTCTCCGGCTATGTTTAATTTATGCTGTACTGTGTATGTCTGTTCGAATCCTCCCCATTCGTTAGCATTGCTATTAAAACTGACTAAGTTGTATATTTTGAAGTAGAAAGGTAACGGTTTATGTCCTCGTAGTTTTCATTACTGTATGTTACAGCAGGGGCTGTTGGGAGGAGGACCTGGAAACGGTAGTCTCCCTCCAGTCCCCTCAACCAAAACCCCTGCTGCCCATCTTTGGAAACCCCTGTTGAGTGACCTGCTTTAAATATCAGTTATTTTTAATAAAGTGACAGTTGAGTGACCTGCTTTAAATATCAGTCTTTTTGAATAAAGTGGCAGTTGACTCTCAGACTGTGTTTCGTCTGGTTCTTGGGAGGATTTGGGAATATTGCCTGCTTCCAGCTTTGTACTTGGTTATTGCATTCTACCAGCAGAGATCCTGGGATTATAAAATTGCAGCTCCGCAACACCATCTTAAATATAAAATCACAAAAGACATAAAAATATATAACTTCACAAAAACCGAACATTTCCCATTCGCATCACATATCCCCAGATAGCCTGGATCTGAGTGCATATTGTGACGGAACGCTGGCACTCCGACTGAGTACCTCCGCCAATCGATGCTCCTAGTGCTCGCTGAGGACTCCAAGCACTCCAACCGACACCATCAGCACTGCAGACCCCACTTCCAGCGATGCAACTGCGCCGGGGTCTCTGCTGTCTCCACCCACCCTGGACCCAAGGCCAGGATCCAGCTTCCAGTGGGTGAACCTCTCTTTCCCCAGAGAGCAGGAACAGGAACAAATCAAGCTATTGCAAGAGCTTCCTCTGGGGAGTAAGTGATTATAGCAATCCCCAGAGTGTAGGTATCCCTTCCCCCAAACATGAGCCAAGGCTTAATGCTGGAACAAGACTGATTTACTGGCACACAGAACTCACAATTTATGCAACACAAAACTCCTCCTCTGGGCCAGGCTAGATAATTGAGTTTCTACAATACACAAAGCTCAATTATCTGCTGGCCAGAAATAATACAGTTTCATAAAACACACAGGGACCCCAAAACATGCAATAACCCCATAAAAAGTATATCCTTGGAACCGGGGGATCTGGGTGAACCACATATCCAAAATTCACCCAGATCCGTTCAGTACTTTGGAAAATACAGTTTAATGCAGATTCTGCAGAACATATACAGGCTAAATAAAAAACAATCACTGTATAATGTGTCCCCTGCTGTATAGTCCAAAACCACTGCACGATGTCTCTGTGCAACAAATACTGGCGAGATGGCACCGTGTTGAAAAGTCCACACAGTGTCTGTGAGTTAAAATGGCCGCCATCCATTGTTCTCACCATGTGCTTCTGATACAGGAAATGGTGGCCACCCAGTAACTCCACAGTATGTCCCCAGATGGTTCTTAAAGAGCCAGCAGCAGCACAACACAAATCCATTATGCCCAAATCATGTCTTTAAAGGGCAATACATCCCAGGGGCCATAGTCACAGGGCAAGAGGCGGGCAAGCAGTCCTCTCCAGGCACAAGTGGCTAAGGGCACTTCGTCACACATCTTCCCTTTGGGGGGAAGACTAAACAGGTACCTGACCTTCTGCCGGTCAGTACCTAGATTAGTCGGGCAGCCCACCCACAAAGAAAAATACGCAGAGTAACCCCCCCACAATAAATGGAACTGGTCTGTAGGTTCAAGTTTGTAGTGGGACAGCGCAGCACTCTCGGTCTCCCTGGTGCAGCTAGGCAAACTGCTGGTGTTGCTTGGGGGGCAGAGGCCAGCGGCGCTCTGCCCTGCTGCCAGCTCTTTCACTGGGGTAACCCGTGGTACAGGCTCTGATACAGGGGAAAAGGGGGGGCAGAGGCTAACAGAGCTCTGCCCAGAGGCCAGCTCTTCTGCTGGGAGGGGGTCAGTGGGTATCGCAGGCTCATCCACTGCCCCCAGGACCCGGTTGGGATGTATCTGGGGAGGGGAAGTTTTGCTTACCTCCTCCTCCTGGCATCCCTGCGGGGTTGGTTGGGGATCTGGACCGCCCGTCCAGCCTCCCTGTAGGACTGGCACAGAGACCGCGGTCCCATCTGCGCCAGTGTGGTTAGGTTTGTCTTCCCCCTCTCCCGGTATCTCTGGCTGCTGTTGGAGGGGGAGGCTGGTTGCTGTAAGGTGGAGGGATTGACCATCACCTCCTCCTGGAACTCAGGCCGCCGCTGGGGAGAGAGACCAGTTGTCTCCTCTCCCTGTATATTATACTGCCGCTGGGGACCTAGGCTGACTGCCCAGCATCCCTGTAGGGCCGGCAGAGAGACTTCGGTCCCATCTCCGCTTGCCATCTCTGTGTGTCCCCAGGACAAGTCTATGAGGTCGCCCACCTCCGGCTGCTGTTGGAGAGGGAGGCCGGTTGCCTCCCCTCCCCAGGACGCTGGTTGCTGTACGGGAGAGGGATCTACCATCACCTCCTCCTGGAACTCAGGCCGCCGCTGGGGAGAGAGACCGGTTGTCTCTTCCCTCTGTACGGTGCACTGCCGCTGGGATGGGAGGTCGCTGCTCTCCTCTCCCTGTAACTCACTCTGTCGCTGGAGACGGGGTGTCAATACCCCCAAACTCCACAGTTGGTACTCGAAGTTCCGTGTGTCTTGGTTCTCAGCACTCAACATGCGCATCACTTGATGGACCACCTCATCTGAAGGGTTTGGGCCAATCTCTCCACCTTACAGCAACCAGCGTCCTGGGGAGTGGGGGCAACCAGCCTCCCCCTCCAACAGCAGCCAGAGATACCGGGAGAGGGGGAAGACAAACCTAACCACACTGGCGCAGATGGGACCGCGGTCTCTGTGCCAGTCCTACAGGGAGGCTGGACGGGCGGTCCAGATCCCCAACCAACCCCGCAGGGATGCCAGGAGGAGGAGGTAAGCAAAACTTCCCCTCCCCAGCTACATCCCAACCGGGTCCTGGGGGCAGTGGATGAGCCTGCGATACCCACTGACCCCCTCCCAGCAGAGGGCAATACATCCCAGGGGCCATAGTCACAGGGCAAGAGGCGGGCAAGCAGTCCTCTCCAGGCACAAGTGGCGAAGGGCACTTCGTCACACATTATTAGCGAATAGCGCTCAGATCCCACACACATAGTTCAATCGCCATGGAGTCAAAGTTCTTACAGTCTTTCGGTATACGAATTACTCCATGGGAAGGCTATCAGGGTTAAGTCTTTTCGTATGCTCCAAATCTCCCGAACGGCCGGTGTTCGTATGGTTTCGTGGAGGCAGCCAGGCGCTCCGTTGTTTCAGCGGTGTTCGGCAGAAAAAGTGTCCGTTTTTAGTTCCATAGAAATAGAGCCAAACACCGCTGGGCTTTCGCATGGTTTAAAATGGCCGCTGCCTCGTGGTCGACATACGAACGACGACCACCCTGAATTCGGTTTAATTGAGGAGTGTCTGCGGTTAACCACAACGTTCTAATTGGGATCAATAGGTTAACCAGCAGCACACTTCTCTCCTGGGTGGCCGTCCGTTTGGCAGGTTTGTTCGGGAAAAAGAGTCATTCGAATGGCTGGGCTATAGAAACCAGCCATTCATACGAACGGGAGACAAACAGACGAATGCAATTAAAATACAAGCAGACAGATGGTTCTGTCACAAACTGTATGTGTGTGGTCTGCGTGCCATTCAGTAATAATGTATGCTCAGACCTAAGCTATCTGGGGATATGTTGCATGTCTGTATTTTATGTAATAAATGTAACCTTGTGTATTTTATTGTATTTTACTGTCTTTTTACTGCCATGTGCTTAATGGAGTTTTGCCTCTGTCCTTGGAGATAATTGGGTTACTTCCCAATTATCTCCAGGATAGAATACTATGTGGAACTGGTTTTGGGCAGAAAAGCCATGCTTCCTTTGGTCACAAAGGACTTCGATCTATCTTTTGAACCAATGGACCAATTTGGATGATTTTGACATATGTTCGTTTTTGGAGTATGCTGAAAAGTTATATGTGAATGTGATGCATACTTTTAAAGTTATGAATAATGTGGAAAAACTGTATTTCTCTGTCTGTGATAATTATATTACCCATTGTGTAAGGTAATTGTATCACAGGCAGAGGGGAGGATTTCATGTGGGAGTGTCTGAGTGTATTGTACGTGTTTATTGGTTGTTTTCCAAAACCCTGTGGGTGCTACTAATGTGTATATAAGAACAATAAACCCACAGCTCTGGCTGTTCACTGCTTGACCCTCAACACCGAGCTTTGTCTCGTTCTTGGGGGGGGATTTACTGTATGCTGTTCCAGTTTGACTGCTAGGAGTGTAAACCTATTTGTATGGTTTTTCCTATTCGGCTGTTTACAGCATTCGCGTGGTTCCGGTTCAGCTGTTTACGGCATTCATATGCTTCTCTGGTTCGGTGGATTAGTGTCTACAGTATCTGTGCCTGTGTCTCTGGAAGGGAAGATCTACTAAACGGCTTTTAACTCCTTTTTATGCCTGGGGGTGCCGTTACAGTCACATTCATGGATAGCCTTGATCTGTGTGACCATCATATCCAAAAATCACTCAGATCGGTTTGGTGGTATGGATTTTCCATTGAAATCAAAACTTTTGACCGACCACTTCTGCCCAAAATAGTTCCATAAAAAAAGTAGTAGCGGTTGGTCAATTTCGGGAGTCCAAAACTAAATGAAATCCCGAATTCATCCTTTGGCTCCTAGGTAGCGATTGTTCGCCTAGTTCATGCATATTGTTATATATGGTAATTGACATATTGTTATACATGGTAGTGGACTTTGTGTTATACAGAGTAATGAACATGTAATACAGGGTAATGGACATGCAGTTATACAGGGTAATGGACATGCAGTTATACAGGGGAATGGACATGCAGTTATACAGGGTTATGGACATGCTGTTATACAGGGTAATGGACATGCATTTATAGATGAAAATTTATCCATACTTACCGTAAATTTCCTTTCCTGGTCATAGGCCATGGCAGCACAACAATGGGTTAGTGTAACGAGAATATACCCCAACACGCAGGATTCAGCTAAACAGAAGACAACACAGAGGAGAGATACGTCTACCGGACCTTAGAATGGCCGGACTTGACGTATATGAGAGGAGACAGAGTCAGGAACGATCCGAAATCAAGGGCACAGAGAGACAGCGTAAACTAGGACAAGCCGGAGTCTGGTACACAGTAAACAACAAGCCGACAACCAGAACAGATAAGGATAAAGAGAAAACGTAGTCAGAAACAAAGCCAAGGTCAATACGGAGAAACACAACTGAACACAACAAGCGCTAAAGGGAACTGATACAGAAACCACAATAGGGCAGGGAGTAGAGGGAGAGGTAAGTTTAAATAGCTTCAAAACTAATGTGATTGGCTCCTGTCATATCCACACCCCCAAAAGGTAAGTGTATGGGGAGTGTGGTATGACAGGGGCCAATGGGAGCCTTTTGACAATTTAGGCTCCCACTGTCTCTTTAAGAGCGCGCCCGAGACTCGCGGCGCGCTCTTAGATTCAGGCGGGACACGTGACCGCTTCTCGCGGTCACTGCCCGACTTGCTAGTGGAGCCGTCGGATGAGCCGCGCGCGGCTCGTGCAGCAGCATGACCGCGCGCGGCTTGAAGAGAGGACCGCGGCCGGCCCCTGGAGAAGGTGAGTAACGCTGCAGTTAGCTCCTCCCTATCCCTAATTAGACAGGAACAGAATTAAAATCAGGGGTATAAATACCCCCTCCCACCAGTGGTCCCTCAGTCTTGTTAACAGCAATATCCCAGGGCGGGATCTAAGTGCTGTCATGGCCTATGACCAGGAAAGGAAAATTACGGTAAGTATGGATAAATTTTCATCTTTCCTGGCCATATCCATGGCAGCACAACAATGGGTAATACCCAAGCAATAACCAAGGGAGGGAATAAAGAAAAAAACACACATGCAATAGAAATCAATCAAGAAGAGTTGACTGCGGATAAGACTGATTTGCCAAAAGAGTCTGATTGGCTGGCTTTAACGTCAATCTGGTAATGCTTTATAAACGTGTTTGGAGAAGACCAAGTGGCTGCTTTGCAAATCAGCTCAGGTGACAAATTAGCAGCTGCTGCCCAAGATGAGGAAAGGGACCTCGTGGAGTGAGCCTTGAGCCCATCAGAAACTTTCATCTTTGAAGCTTGGTAAGCCTGAACGATGGCGGCAACAATCCATCTACTGATGGCCATCTTAGAAGCCTGAAGCCCTCTTCTGGGGCCGTTGGGGATGACGAATAGCCTTTGAGAGATCCGCCAGGCTGAAGATCTTTGTAGATAGACAGACAGACATCGAACAAGATCTAACGGAGAAGGCAGAGGTTCAGCATCCTCAGTAGAAGACTCCGAATGAAGAGCCGGGAGTACTATTTCTTCGTTGATGTGAAAAGCTGACACCACTTTAGGACGAAATTCGGGAACAGTCCGTAAAATAACTCTGTCCTTATGAAAAACTGTAAAGGGCTCTTTAGTTGATAAGGCATGGAGTTCAGACACTCGTCTACCTGAGGCTAAGGCCACCAAGGGAAGATCCCATGGTGGAGCGAAGGGCTTGATAGGAGGCTTGATTTTCAAAACTGCTGCCATAAATCTGATCACGTCCGTGTTCAAGGCCCATCTTTGATCCGTAAGGGCCGAAAGAGCTGAAATATGCACCTTCAGGGTATTGTAGCTTAAACCCTTATCAAGACCGGATTGTAGAAATTCAAGGATCTCCTTGGTGGAGATAGACTGAATATCCCTGTGGTTGGATGCAGCCCAGGAGGAAAAAACATCCCAGATTCTGTAGTAAGTGGAAGATGTAGAGCGTTTCCTTGCTTGCAGTAGAGTTTCAATGACAGAATGAGAAAATCCCTTTCCCTTTCAATCTCCATGCCATCAGCTTGAGGGAGGCAGGGTCTGGGTGGAGGACAGGACCCTGATGTAGAAGGGAAGGAATATTTGGAAGCTGCCAGGGGTCTGCACTGCAGAGGCTCAACAACAGAGGAAACCATGGGCTGCGAGGCCAAAAGGGGGCTATGAGGATGATGGATACCTTCTCCTGCCTCAATCGTCTCAGAAGAGGAAAGATGAGGGGTGTAGGAGGAAATGCGTAACCTAGGTGAAATTCCCAATCGATTGAAAGAGCATCCCTTCCTGATGCTTGGGGATCGATGTTTTTTGAAAAGAAGTGCTGCACCTTCCTGTTCTTGTGTGTTGCCATAAGGTCGACTTGTGGCATGCCCCATACTTGAGAGATGTCTTCGAACACCTTGTTTGACAGACTCCATTCTCCTGGATCTAATTCCACTCTGCTCAGGTAATCCGCTATGGAATTCTGGACTCCCGGAAGATGGATCGCTGATAGGCCCGCTAGATGCTTCTGGGAGAAGGACATTAGGGGCTTCATAATGGACATCATTTTCCGACTCCTTGTTCCCCCTTGATGGTTTATGTAGGCAACTACAGTGGAATTGTCTGATCTGATCTTGATCCACTTGAAGCGTATGAGGGGAAGGAGAATTTCTAGAGCTTTTAGAACTGCCAAAAGCTCTAATTGGTTGGAGGGAGTTTCTGTTACTGGAAAGGACCATTTCCCCTGGATAAACTGATCTTGTAGGTGAGCACCCCATCCCCACTGGCTTGCGTCCGTGGTAATAACTGTCCATGTGATGTTCCCCAATGGAAACCCTCTGAACAAGGATTTCTTCTGTAACCACCAAATCAGAGATTGATGGACCTGAGGGGGAATCTTGATAGGCTGAAGTGGACTTCTCAATCTGAATTGAAGGATGAAATTCTTCTGGAAAATCCTCATCCTCCATTGGGCCCATCTTGTCAGTCCGAAGGTGGAGGACATTGATCCTAACAGGCTCATGCATCTTTCTGCTGAGGTCACATTGGATGCCAACATGTCTTAGACTTTGTTCATCAACTTTGTACCTCTTTCTGAAGACAGTTGC